AGGAAATTAGTATGGCCCACTGGGAAGGGTTAATGAAGTAGGTGAACTAACGGTAAGCGGCAGCGGCGATCAGCTTCAACTTGGCTTCTTGGAAGGCTTCAGTCTTCCTTGACCACACTTCTTCGTGACTATATAGTCTATGCACACAACTGGGTCGACCCGGCACACTCACTAACGCTTAATTACATTGGTTTCTAACATGTTTCCTTCCGTAACAGTCGTCAAATGTGGTTTTTCTTTCTTCATACCTTTAATTTAGTCAACTGTGTGTGAAATTTGTTACACAGTAGATACACGTTTGGTTTAGAAGGAAGTATCGTTATTTATAAATGCCATTTGAAGTCTATCAAACAATTCATTTGGTTTCAGGTGACATTTGAAAACGTAAAAAATACAGCGTGCGATGTGCCCGACGCACATAACTTTTCAATATAGCCTCGTACAAAATGAGGAGGGAAATTCAAAATTAAAATTTTGTATTTTTACTTTGAACTTTTTTCGCAATTTTCTGTATGGCCTGTTATATTTTATAAGTAACTGTCCAAAATAATTGTGTTTTATTAATGTAATCTGTAGCAGTTTCGGCAGAGTAGGTACGCAGTCGCGAAGGAGGGTCGTAAATTAGTTTAATTTGTTCAGAAATGGCGCTCTGCCGAAAACTAGCAAGCTGTTGCGATAATTGTTAACTAGTTAATAAACTTCCGTAATTACTTTTGCATCGTTCTTATAGCTATATAGATATATAGGTTTGAGGTGAAATCGGTGGAAACTAAATTAATAAAAGGTTTCGCCATAGTGTATCAAATAATTAAAGCGACCGATTTCAGAAGTTATTATGTTAAAAAAAATTCAGTCTTGTTAGATTTTCGTAGTCGATTTTTAATTTTTTAAATATTGTAATTTTAATACATTAATTTTTTTGTCTTTTTCGGTGGATTAAAGTAAGGAATATCACAAGTTCAAAGTAACAACCATGATATCGTCTAAACAGTTACATTAAAAAACATATCTCCTATCTATTCACTTTATGCTATGTAATTTTTTCATCACTTTTAAATGGGACCACCATTGAGGTCTATTTTATAAAAAAGAATCCTTTAAAGCTTCGATAACATAAGAAACACGCCTGGAATATAGAACCTGCACCCTATTTTGAACTCGTTTAAAAAGCAGAATGACGCGGCTGACTTTCATGGTGGTTAACGGAACTGAAGACTTCTGAAGTTGAGGCTAATTCTTTGATACAATGTCTTAGCGCTGACTTCAGAAGTAATAGATGTGGCAATGATTTACATGGGTATTGTGTGCGTGATGGCTTCTCCCGATCGAGCTGATTCATTCGTGGTAGTAGGTAGGACATCAATAATACGTTACAGCGTGGTGTGTACGTGTTATCTACCGACTTCAAAAAGGAGGACTACTCTATTAGATTGTATGTTTTTTTATTTGTGTTACCTCAACGTTTTTCTGGGTGAACTGATTTCGATGATTTTTTTATTTAAAAACCGGTGCTTCTCATGTAGTCCCATATAAATTTGATCAAGTTCTGATCAATAGTTTTTGAATTATTCTTAATAATTTATATTGAAGTCAGTTGTACAAATTTTTTAATTTTAAATTATTATTTTTATTATTAGGACTACCTGCCATTCTAATGCCAATGCATTGTAGTGTCAATACCAAACATGAACATATTTATCTAAGGCTGCTTAATATATTTAATATTTACTCCTTCGTATACTTACATGATGTGCAACTCTGGTTGGTTGTGTTCGGTAGTAGTGAGAAATGATCTTGTATTATGAAGTACCTAGACAAGCAAACAAAATGACAATAAATATTATGATAAAGAAATTCGTTCGGAAAATACTGCATTTATTAAAGTACCTACTAGGCGTCTTTTTTTAATTAAAAATAATTTACTATAAATATATCAAATATCCTAAGTCATCACTGGCAACACGCACTGGTTGTACAATTTCGTTTTAAGGTTTTGAGGTATGTCTGACGAGAAGATGTGTCGTAGCTTCCCGAACGCTGCCCAGCCGAGTTGAATCCGTCGATTGACCTCTCGGTCGAAGTTGGACTTACCCAGTCGGACTATTTGTCCCAGGTAAACATACTCGTCAACAACATCGAGCTTAGTGTTCCCAACAACTACCGGCATAGGTGTGACATGGACATTAAACATGATCTTAGTTTTGTCCATGTTCATCTTAAGACCTATCCGTTGGGAAACACTATTGAGGTCATTGAGCATAGTGCTTAGGTCCTCCAGCGATTCTGCCATAAGGACTATATCGTCGGCAAATCGAAGGTGAGTCCTTCACTGCTGGCCGTATGAGGAAGCTCAAGGTCGCTCAGCGAGCTATGGAGAGGGCTATGCTCGGAGTTTCTCTGCGTGATAAACTTAGGAATGAGGATATCCGCAGTAGAACCAGAGTGACCGACATAGCCCAACGGATTAGTAAGCTGAAGTGGCAGTGGGCCGGCCATATAGCTCGAAGAACCGACAACCGATGGGGAAGAAAGGTTCTCGAGTGGCAGCCTCGTACCGGTAGGCGAAGTGTAGGGCGTCCCCCCACGAGATGGAGTGACGACCTGGTAAGACATGCAGGAAATCGATGGATGCAGGTGGCTCAGGACCGTGTTTTGTGGCATTCTTTGGGGGAGGCCTATGTTCAGCAGTGGACTTGTGAAGGGCTATAATGATGATGATGATGATGATATCAAATATCAAAAAAATAAAGTAGATTTATGAAAGATTTAAGTTAATAACGGAACTTCTTTACTATTATATTATGCTTGTTGTTTTTTTTTTTGACAACAACAAGAATGAAGAAAGTAGAAACAGGACAGTATCAGTGACAACAAAATAATTAGCTAATTGTTAAAAAACTAATCAATTGCTTATTGTAAAATCCGGTCACCTTGAAGTCCATTGGCTGTAGTATAGCCAATAGGAAGCGTTACACGTTGGAGGCGGGAAGAGGCAAACGTTAGATGCAAATGACGTTTAGACTTCTTTTTTTTAACGAAACTCGTTTCTCAATCCGCTTTTGTTTGTGAACGGCCAGTTGTACAGAAATGGTTATTTTATTCTGCGCTTATTCTTGTTTGACCATGATTTCGTGTGTGATAATTATTTTATTGGTTTCTTTATTTTTTATCGCACAAAAACGAATATGTATTTATTATCGTCAAAGAGACAATTATTGTCAGAATGCCGTCTTTCGTCCATGACCTAATTTTTATAGCTCTATTAACCATGTAAATCCAGAGTGGGTAGACTTTTGAAGAATACACTTAATGAAGCACAAGTGACACGCTTTATCTCACTACATTCTCAACTATTTCTGACGCCAAACCGCAGTGCTTTTTATTGTGTTCCGGGCTAAAAGGTAAAGAGAGACAGTATTTTACAGGTTGTGTGTGAGTCATTCCATCGACGTTTAGCCCTCAGTGGTGATAACGCATATGTAGCCTTTGTGGTCTACATTGTTCGGCACGGCTCTGAACCTTACTGTTCGCCTCTGCTTCACGGCACTCTCACAGATTACTGTCTTCTTCTCGACTTACCGCAGCCTACACGGCAATCCTTGGTACTTGTACATTAGTGAACTAGCTAACTAGACTGCACCATCGACCTCCGGTCCGAGCAGGGGGGTGATGTGGCGGCGCTGTCGTCGCGCCACAAAGCGAAACGCACTGAAACCGAAATCACACTATCAAAGTTCCGATATACTGCGGTGTAGGATATAGAATAGCTCCGAACTACCTCATGGAGCGTTGGCTACTCCCAGGGCTGATAACCTTGCGCGGCGGGAGATATCTCCTTTTCTTCCACGGCCACGGATAACCAATTATCATCAGGTGGTACAGTACCTACCTACCTCTACCAACAATGCCTGAAACCTGGGTTCAATTACCGCCGGCACCAATGAAATTTTGGATTGCAATTGATTACTTTAAAATTGTTGATTTACCACTTGCTCGACGGTGAAGGTAGACTTCCTAATAAACATGCATGTCTAGAAACAAAATACATGTTAAATCCATCAACACGTACTGGAATAGCGCTGCGGACTAATTGCTCCTTAATCCACTCAAAAATTAGAGATGGCCCATGTCCAGCAATGGGGCTTTAGTTATATATATTTCTTCATTAGCTATATTATATAATTAATTAAAAGACAAACAATTACCGGATTACCTGGTAGTGGCGGTGTAAGAATATCCACCCATATCATCCCGTGGGTGTCGTAAGAGGTGACAGCGGAAAACAAATCAGGAGATGGGCAGCAGCGTCTTCCTAATAACGACTAAAAATAAAAATAAAAGCCACGCTTGTCAAGCGGGTCGGCAGTTGCCAACCCACTTGTATAGTTCGGTATAGTTGTAGCACGAATGGGTCGGCTCGACCGGGGACGGACCACACTCTCACAGAATACCAGCGTAAAATAGCAGCTTAATGCTGTTTCTTATGGTGACTGTAGAGAACCGGAAACCCATTTTACTGGAAAAGACGCATTCCATCTGAGTCCTCACGGGTGACAACGCATCTGCATTTTGGTTCGTAATCAAGGATAAATGTAGATGTCTATGGGCCACAGCAACCACTTCAGGTGCAGTAGGGTTACCAGATGAAAAAATCAAAAGTCCGGAGAAAATGCCTGATTTCCATTGAAAAATCCTGAGATTTTTAAGTTTGTGAATATTTTCTCAAACGTACTTAACAATTTAAAAAAGTCGTAATATTATCATTTTTATACACTGCGAATCTTGCTCACGCGTTGCACATCGCACTCAAAGCGCGGGGGGTGGGGGGAGGCAGCGGCACACCCCTCCCACGCACCGCCCCTCGCCGCGAAACGCGGGTACCGCAACAGTGCAGTGACGCTCACTCACTTAGTTCCACGCCATTGCGAAGATTGGACTGCGCTGCTTTGAGTGAGTGTCGCCACGTTAGAGCGAGAATCGCAACCGGATACGAGTTAAAAATGTCTTCAAGTACCAAGCGACCACGGTACAGCTGTACATTCACAGATGTTTTAAAAGAAAAATTTCCGATTATGAAAGATGGTAGAGAACCTACCGAAGTGTTTTGTTCAATATGCAACAATTATGTTTCAATTAAGTTCAAGGGAGCTGCCGATATTGAAAAACATATACTAACGGAAAAACATAAGAAAAATGTTTTAATTGTTTCAAGTAACACGAAAATTGACTCTTTATTTCATCCACAAAGTTCTGGATTGACAGACAAAAAATCCGCCGCTGAGGCCACTTTAGCTTTTCACACAGTGAAACATCACCAATCATTTAAATCTATGGATTGCACCAGCCAACTGGTGAAGGCTATATTTGCCGATTCCAACACTGCGAATAGTATTTCTTGTGCAAGAACGAAGACTGAGGCCATTGTTACGGGCGTGATATCTCCGTGGGTAATTGAACAGGTAAAAGTATCATTACAAAACGTTAACTACTTGGGCGTTTCCACAGATGCAAGTAATCACGGCGCAGAAAAAATATTTACAATTATGATACAATTTTTTGACTGGCAAGAAGGTATTAAAACAAAACTGCTGGATGTGCTGAGCACACCCGATGAAACTGCTGACACTATAACAGAGATAATTAAAACAAGCTTGCATAAGCACGACTTGTTGACAAAATGTGTATCATTTACAGCAGACAACGCTAATGTTAATTTTGGCGGAATTAATCGGCGACCGGGGCAAAATGTGTTGACTAATTTAAAAAACATATTAGAAAAAGATATCGTAGGAGTTGGGTGCCCAGCGCGCATTCTACACAATTGTATTCAACACGGCACTGATAATCTTCATATTGATATAGAATCTGTAGTAATGAAGTTGTTTAATTATTTTTCCGTATACACCGTACGCACGGAGGCGTTGAAGGATATCAGCGAGTATATAGATGTTAATTATCAGAAACTTTTGTTTCATAGCAAGACACGATGGCTTAGTCTCTTTCCAGCGATCGAAAGAATATTGAAGATGTATGAGCCGTTGAAGCAGTACTTTTTGTCTACTCCTGGTGTACCAATAACTTTGAAGAACTTTTTTGAAAATGAACTCAGCGAAATTTATTTATTTCTCGCTCACTCCTTGATGTCAATCTTTCAGGCAAGAATTGAAGACATCGAAAGAGAAGGTAATTCTGTTCTAGATATTAAAAGAATCCTCGAATCCACACATGAAATTTTAGTTGCACGATCGAACGCAAACTTCATGCCACTAAAAGTGCGAGAATTGCTGGCTAAGTGCACTGCGGAAAATCAAGAAGTTTTCAAACAAGACCTTAAAAATATGTATAAGACTTGCATAGAATATCTGATCAAGTGGATGAAGCCTTTAGATGATTTCAAAGTCTTTAATTGGTTGATGCTGACAAGGGGCGAAATGATCGACTTTGATCAGATTGCGTTTTTTTTTTTTTTTTTTTTTTTTTTTTTATTAAAAAAAAACCAACAGCGATTTAACAATTTTAAGCACTTAAAGTATAAATCTTAAATGTAAGGCCTATTAAAGGTTTTTTCAGTTATATAAACAAAATATATTATGGACGGTACAATTTAACTATTCTTTGAATTTATTATAATATGTATGTACTAATCCAATTGTATATATATATGTTCACAGATATGTAACTAAATGTTTATACTAATTACACTTTTGTATATGTGTATGTAGAAGTAATATTTGTATTATTTATTTCTCTGCAAAACTTTTAAATGCAGCCAGATATTAACATTCTTTTATGTAATTTAATTTAATGAAATATGAAATATCACACCTGTTTATTTATTTATTTTTCTAAACCGTTACACTTATGTCAAATTTACACTCAACAATCAAGTAAGAAGTGATTATACTAAATGATGCAAAGTATGAATTCATTTTCATATTATAATAGAGTTGATTTATGTTCATTACTATTTATTTATTTTTGTGTAGGGAGTCCTACTAGATGGAGTAACGACCTGGTAAGACATATAGGAAGTCGACGGACGCATGCGGCTCAGAATCGTGCCTTGTGGGATTCCCTGGGGGAGGTCCACGTTCAGCAGTGGACTTGTGAAGGGCTGTAATGATGATCATCATGATTATCGTTATCAATTTATTATCTGAATGGAAAAGGAGTACACATCGATGATGCAAAATTATTCGATGAAATTGCAGTTCTCAATAGTTTTTTAACAAAACAAGAAGAAACGTTTTTTGACGTAATGCTTCATGCGTTATGGGCAACCATTTTCAAGACAATAGGTATTTCACGATTACCAGAAATGATGCGTATTTGTCAATATATATTTGCAATTACAGCTCAGAATGCAAACTTAGAAAGAGTTTTTTCTATCATGGGGGCTCAATGGTCAAATGAAAGAAACCGACTAACGGTATCTTCAGTTCGAGCTATACTTTTAATTAAATATAATTTGAAGAGTTTAACATGTGAAGCATTTTATAAATCCATTATTAGAGAAAAAACCTTACTTGAAAAGGTATCTTCACACATTAAGTACGATAAAACTGAATAAGTACCTACTTAGATAAATAAGTATTGATTTTAATTGTGCAATTATTACCAAAGGAAGATTATTTTTAATTTGTTAATTTTTTACTAAAGAAATCTTTAAAATGTAAACAGTATTTTATTGAAAATTCTAAAAATCCTGAGATTTCCAGAGATTTGCAAAATCCGGCCGCAATCCTGAGAAGAGTCCAAAAATCCTGAGATCTCAGGACAAATCCTGAGATATGGTAACCCTATGCACTGTGTGCTGTGTTGTGTGTTGTTTGTCACCGTTATCCTATATAAAAGGAGTGACGCGATGATTTCTAATGGAAGTCTTTAGTCTATGCCTACGCCTTTGAACGACAGGCCTGAAGGATTTTTGTTCGCGACGGCCTAAAGACTTTAAGAAAAAGTGATGAAAGAATATTGTTTTGTATAAAAGTGAAATTACCAACGAAATCGAGCAAATTGTGTATTAATATAGTTTTACAGTGTGTTTACACCTCTTAATATATTTGTATAGAATGTCGTTTTAATAATAGTTGATATAAACAACTTTAAGCATTTAAGAAAAATTCGACCAATCACAGCGCATCATATCGTAGAACTTTCAGGAAGTTTAATTAACTGCGCAATAGTTTGTACTGAAAATAATGAGAATATTTTTGTGTTCTAAAAGAGTTGTAAATATGACATTTAGTTAGCATATGATATAGAGATTACGATAGTGAAGAAATAATTTGTATAATTAAACGCATTTGGTAGTTATAGAAAAATGAAAGAATTAATGTACCCATTTGTTGTAAAAATTTGGGACATTTCGTTTAATAACTTTTTTTAAATATAAATATATTGAATAACCTTTATCACATACTGATAAAGGACCAAAATGCCTATTTAATGATGTTTAGCATATTAGTGTAAGATTTAAGCTTATATAGAAAATATTGCGATTTGTGCTAATTACATAGTAAAAATGTTTAAAAATAAAGAGGCAAAACGGAAAATGGCAAGCGGCTCACTATACAGTATAGCCGAAGTCTACCTTATGGGGGCGAATCCCAGTAACGTTGTAGTAGGAAGAACTACCAGTGACAAGCAGTAGTATCCGGTAGTAGCTGAAGTGACTAGTAGCAGAACATAGTGAACAGTAATAGTGAATTAGAAAAAGTTTAGCTAGCCGAAAAAGGTCGTAACTGAAAATCGCAGTTACACATAGCCGAAAAAAAAGTGGAAACTGAAAATTCGCAGTTGCATATAGTAAAAAAGTGTTAGCTAGCCGAAAAAGTGGTAATTGAAAATTCGCAGTTACATATAGTAAAAAAGTGTTAGCTAGCCGAAAAAAGTGGTAACTGAAAATTCGCAGTTACATATAGTGAAAATTGTTAGCTAAACGGAAAAAGTGGTAACTGATATTCGCAGTTACACAAGTGATAAAATCAACTAGTTTTAGTTGATTAATAGCTGCTAGTCAGTAGTGTCAGAAAACCAGCTACTACCAATAGATATTTTGATACTACCAATAGATAATTGATACTACCAATAGATATTTTGATACTACCAATATATATTTTAATACTACCGCACATTTTAATTGAATCTTTTGAAATATATAGTGACCAACCGATAGTGAACAACCGTGTTCAACAGCCGTGGTCAATAAATAATAGTTATAAAATTTCGCGACTAATTAATCAGACGAACCGCTGGCCACTCCCTTGCTATTTTAATTTATAAATCGTGCATTTTAATTTTGAACCTCAGTCCACAGTTTTCCAGCAGCACACACAGAGACGGCAGTGAAAGTATCCTCCGGAACCTATAGGTGTAGGACGTGAGCGACTCGCGGAGTATCTTCGACAACATTTACTCCGGAGAGTTACGCCCGTCCGGCACAATTTTATGTTATGTAGGTACATAACTTGCTGGGGTTCCTTGTTATGTCGATATAAAGCAAACATTGTAAAAATTAATCGCTGCCATTTTTTTACTCGATAAGCTTGGATTTATTTAGCGACACATAAATTGTAAAAGTTTACCTCATAAAGCTAATTTTTTACCTGAAAATACACGAAACGTGTCATTCGAGCGTTATCGCGCCTGGTCCTGGTTGGGATTATCCTCACTTGCCCCCTTCCCTCCGTAATCCCTCCGGGTGCGGGATTGTGAGGGAACGGGACGAAAGCTCTCGACGGCCTGTCAGTCAAGCGGCGACAATCGCGACGTGAGAACGCACCTTAAAAACTATCGAGATGTCTATGGATTAATTTCTTTTTGTACACAAATTTATTAATCATTTTGTAACAATAAAGTATCGTATTTAAATATAGTTCAGAACTATTGTAGCAGTAAAGGCTTACAATAAAAAATAATTGTGATACTATATAAACGACAATGGTAGTTAAATTATGAATAAATTAATTTAATTAAAAAATATCACAGATTATTAAAGTATTATGAGTGTTGTTCCAAAGTTAGACTTTTTAAATTTTTTTAATTGGTGTTTAGCAAAGTGGCCAGTGCTGTGTGTTTACAAAAATTCGGTTTAGAACAATGAGGACTTTTACAAAAATTTTGTGAATTATGTTTTGTGCTAAGCAATATTTTTCACATAGGGTTCTCCCTATACCTATTGGATTCTTATAAGGTAGGTAAAAGTTAATTAGCTTTTGTAATTATAATTGCGAAGTAGTGTATTACTAGTGTTTAATTACTATTACTAGTGTATTACTTTTTTAAACTGTGGTATTACCATATTATTCATAAATATATTCAGTGCCGTTTCATAAATCTACCAACTGCCAACTGGTTCATAACCAATATAGACCAATTTTGAGGACGCTTTTCAACTAATAAATAATCTTGTATTCGCAATTAATTATAGATCTAAACTGATTAAATATTTATTTATTTATTTTATTTTATTCTTTATTGCACCAAAGACATTGTACAAAAGGCAAGCTTAATGCTATATAGCGTTCTCTACCAGCTAACCTTGTGTAGAACAGAGTGAGTTATGGGCAGAGATCTATAATATTTGTGTTCTGCGCTTGTATTTTAACAGTCTTCGTGAAAAAGTTAACGAGTTAGTTAAAGTTAGTCACTTTCGATGCTAATTAATTATGCATACACGGCTAAACGGATAGCTTAAAATTCTGCATGTCCTGGATTTATATACTTAGATATTTATTACTTTATAACACTGACACTACGCTGCAGCTATATTATGGTTGTAGCACGATAAATTTTTAATTAAAGTAAGATTTCTAATCTTTTTTACAGCATATTTTTTTTTAAAACGTAACCCCCACACTAGGATTTTCTCCTGTATCGTGGAGGCAGTTTACAAACACAAATTTCACAAGGATAAACATCCAGACCCGGAACAATTATTTGTAGGCCATACAAATACTTGTTCCGTGCGGGATTCGAACCCGCGGCCCCCAGCGCAGCAACTCATTGCTAAGCCACTGCGCCACGGAGCCGTCAAAATATGCTGCAGAACTAAGTCTGCTTCCTTGTTTTGATATATGGGGACTCCATTGAAGCTTCGCGTCTAGTGTAATTCCAAAAGAAAAATGGTGGGATCAACAAGACTCAGTTTCTCCCCATTTAAATTTATCCAGTATTTATAAAGTTTTGATTGAATTTTTATTTTTACAAGTAAAGGCTGTGCTCTTATTTTTATTTTGTCAATTATTTGGTTAAATCGAAATCTTTTATAAGTTATACTTGCGATTTTTGTCACTTGGTGAAAACTCATCATCATTTTTTGATTTGGATATCTCTATCAGGTTTACTTGTTTTACTAATTGACCGCGGGAAAATCGTTCTTTCACAGAATAGAAGCGTAAAATAGGCCTGAAGTCTTACATTGAGAAGTCGGTACTAAAACATATTTATAGGTACCTATAGGTACATAAAGAACAACATTCCCGACATCGGAATGTGAAATTGTTTTACACTTTTTGTCCCGTAGTCGACTTTTAGTTAATATTAAAAATTATTTTTAACCGACTTCAACAAAAGGAGGAGGTTCTTGATTTAACTGCATTTTGTATGTGTGTTACATCAGAACTTTTTTCTAGGTGAACCGATTTTGATGATTTTTATTTGAAAGCTGGTGCTTCTCGTGTGGTCCCATATAAATTTGATCAATGTCTGACCAGTAACTTTTGGGTTATCCTTAATAATGCGTATTTAATTTACTTCGACTACATTGATGATGTTCTCATTTTATTTATATTGAAGTTGGTTGTACAAAAATTTTAATTGTAATAATATAATAAAGTGGTAATATTTACTTGTTATACTTTTGAGTGAACTACGAATTTTTCACGTGGTAGAGCCACGCTGCAGCTATATTAGCAGTATACTTGAAGCACGAATGGGTCGGCTCGACTGGGGAAGGACCACGCTCTCACAGAATACCAGCGTAAAATAGCAGCATAATGCTGCTGTGTTTTGTATGGTGGGTGTAGAGAACCGGAGACCCTTTTTACTGGAAAAGAGGTATTCCATCATAGTCCTCACGGGTGACGACGCATGTGCATTTTGATTCTTTATTGAAGATAAATGTAGAAGTCTATAGGTCACTGCAACTACTTACCATCAGGTGGACTGCGTGCTCGTTTGTATCTATAAAAACATATCATAGTCTCACTATCGTTTAAATAGTTATATCTATTGAAAACTTTATTCCCTATTTTGCCACCCGGGCCCGGGTGAAATTCTTTCCCCAATTTTATGTGAAGCATTTGACGGAATCATCAGGCTTAGCAGGCGAATCGACGTTCGGAGTACCACAGACATTTCGCACATTTTACGCTACTTCCTGTCGCTGATGGTAGAAAATGATGAACGCAGACAACAAAGCTTTTAGACCGCTGAACTTACCAGGGCCTGGAATTGGGGATCCGTTTGCAGGTCGTTAAAACCCTGTTTTTTGAAAGAAAATCCGATCTTCAGCCGGCATCCCGGTGATGAGACTCAACAGATTGTAATTACCGTTACTTTTTTATA